TACTGTGATCTAAAAATACAAAAAAAAAAAAACAAAAACAACTAAAACTTCCCTTAATGTTAATTGCAATAAAAAAGCAACATTAATAAAATGTTGTAAAACTGGTAATAAAATAAAATTAGGGAAAATGCCATTATCTAAAAATATAAAAAATTAACTCAAAATTCCCTTACCATTAGATGCAATGAAAAAGCAACATTATTAAAATGTAGTTAAACTAGTTATAAAATAAAAATTGGGAAAATGCCATCATATAAAATATAAAAAAATAACTAAATGTTCTCTTACCATTAATTGCAATAAAAATGCAACATAACATGTAGTAAAAATGCATCATTCATAACATGGAGTAAAACTAGTAATAAAATAAAAATATGTTCTGTCTGTGGCATTCTCAGCATCCCTTGTAGAACCACATTTTTATCAAGTGTTTTTTCTTGATCTATGTAGTGATGATCCAGAATTTATTGACATATAGGAAGGCTGATATTATATGATAGTTCAGTACTATTTTCTCTTTTTTAATGAAATTTTTCTGTTTCTTAATACTCTGCTTAGCTTTTGAAAGGCATCTTTCACTATCCTGATGCTCCTTCAATTTTCAGTGTGACACTTTCTGTTCTCTTTTAAAGCACCTCTCAGATAAATTATTGTAATTGTTTGATTTTTGTATACTAAATTTGTAATTTTCATGTTGGCCTCTTTCTTTTACTGACATCCATGCATGTGATTTCCTTATAATTGATGTTTATTCCTTTTTTTCCCTTTTCTTTTTTTCAACTTTTGAAATTTTTATGTCTGCTATCTACATTGTGTCATCTGCATATTTTATGTTGTTATGTTTCTGGCCGCCACTAATGAATTCTAGTAGGACTTTTAATTCTGTCAGAATTACCTCACTCTGTAGGTTGAAAAAGTCTGGTGAGAAGGTGCATCCTTGTCTTATGCCCATTTCTATTTTACTGAATTCAGTTTCTATTTGAATGCAAATGGTTCGCTGTCAGTATAGGTTCTGGATTATTCTAATATCCTTCCCAAATATGTCAAGGTTACTAAGAAGTTCCAACAGCTTTTGCATAATCTGTAAAACATAGGTATATATCCTTCTGCTTTTGTATTATTCATTCTGATATCATTCTGTGTATAAATATTGCATTCCTTGTTCCAATGTCTTTAACAAACCCACACTGTTCTTGTCTTATTTCCTGAGTAATTCTGCTGTCTAAGAATCCAGGTGCAAATGAATGCGAAGCTGGTCATCTAAATTCTGATAAATAGATCATTCATCAGAATTGGATGATAAGTTTTGTTATATGGCTCATTAGGATGTTTCTCCAATGAAGTTCACATTCATTTGCACTTGGCTTCTTAAGCAGTGCTATGAAAATAGATCTACTTAGGTCATCATGTATATCACCACTGTTGTATATATCATTGTCAATGCTGAAATCATTTAAGGTTGCTAGCATCTCTATTACAATGGTCCCTGGCCCTGTTGCTTTGTTTCTGTTCAATAAGAGTAACATGCTAATCACTGTTCTTAGCGAGTTATGAAAAAAATTGCAATATTGATATTTATTAAGCTTTACTTAGTCTGGTACAAGGGTCCAATTATAAGGCACCTGTCTAATCTGTCAGCTTTATACAACTGCTTTCCCAAATCAATGATTAAAAATGGCTTCCAGAAAATGAAGCCTGTATGTCTTAGTGACGACCATTATTCTTTGAACCTCATGGACTGGTGCTACAGAATCACAAAAAATTGCAACAAATAACAGGACTTTCAACAGCAGCAACACCTAAAATGGATAGCACATATATCTTGAAGAGAAACTAATGATATAATCAAGGTGTAGGCATTTCACACAGCTTCAAACAAAATGTTAGTATCCGAAAGAGCAATAACAGTTGCTGGACTTGAGAAAACTATTTTTCTGAAAAATTTTTTTAATAGAAACGTTTATAAATTTCAATCAACATTTGCATTGGTTGTTTGGTCAATGAATGCTAATTGTTTCCTTAGAAGGAAACAGCTAATATTAACATTACCATTAGATATGAGGTGACCAGATACTACACTTTGCTCAGAGGCCGATAGCCAAGGAATAAAGAAAAGTGTAACGAGAGTTGAACTGGCTGATCGATGAATGAATGCGAAATGTTTTCATATAAGGAAACAATTCATATTACCATTATCATTAGTGATGAGGTGACCAGATACTACACTTTCATCCGAGTTTGATAGCCAAGGAATGAAGAAAAGTGTAATTAGAGTTGGTCTGGCTAATCGATGAATTCTAACACTTTTGCCCCAGCCCCTCAACCTTCGACATCTTACTCTCTTGGTTGAGGTGTCTACTCAGTCTTAACCGAACTTAAGGGAGTGACCATAGGTCCCCTGAGCATCCAAAGATCATTTGACCAGTCCACTGGTTTAATCCTGCTTCCTGCCCATGTTGTGTTTGGTTTGATCCAGAAAGCAGATGTGATATTCATCCATTCACGGTTGACTGAAGATGTAGACACGGCTGGAGAGTCTGTGCTAAGAAATTTAGAATGCCCCAAAAAAATGTATATCTGCAGAAAGCCGGACAAACAACTATTCAATGATTGAATTGTTAATGTCTTTTATATAGCAGAAAAGAATAGTATAGAAAAGAATCAGGTTACAGAAAAGAAAATTATTTGACGTAAAAAAGAAAAAGTAAAACTCATACAATGGATTCTAGACACAGAGAGAGAGTGGGTTTTGATTAACTTGTTAAATTGTCTCAGAATGATATGTGACTCTTGCAATTGAGAGATAAAGATTTCTGTGCACAGCTTAAAGTTTATAGTTGCATTCCTCCTCGGCAATAGTAACAGTAGTAGTAATCTTCGTGGTAGCTGAAGCATTGGTACTTATATTAACTGTACATATTGGCGAGGGTTTTGTTCCACTCTCTGACATCACTTTCATACTTCTTCGAGCCTTCAATTCAACTCTGTTCACTTTCAATCTCCGATATCTCTCCACCCAGCTTGACTGCACTTGAAGACAGATGAGCAAAAACCAGCCTTTGGTTATTGTAGCTTGTTCGACGTTTCCATTTCCAGTGGTAGTAATAATAGTAGCAGTCTTAGATTGTTGGAGGAGTAATTTGCTTCTTTGTACTTATATCAACAACATGTTAGCGGGCGTTTGGTTCAAATATCTGATGTCACTTTTAATCTCCGACCTCTCTTCACCCAGCTTGACTGTTTTCGATGACAGATGAGCCAACCGCTCTTTTTTCAAAAAGATTTCTGTAGCACCGCAACCCGTAACAGTCGCCTGCAGGTGCCCACACACATGACGGCACGCAGCAACAATGACGTGTCGACTGATTGTGGCCTCTCCCGTCTGGCCTCTTCCGTCTCACTTGACCATCTGCCTCTTCTTCAGAAATGACTATGTGCTTATATAGATCAATCTGGTTGATCAAAAATCGACCCATGGCCCGCACGCGATTATCACGAGTGCCGTTTTCAACCCAAAATCATGTGAATTTTAAAGTTCTCATAGACTTAGTAAGCTCTATTTCAAATTTTAACTGATAAAATTTATTTCGATCATCTCCATTGTCTTTTCACTGACCCAATTCCAAATGGGCTATATCAGATTTCCATCAGTAAACAAAATTGTTCTGATCTAATTTTGCTGTTCAAATGTACCCCAATTTCAATAAAAAAATATACATGTGTGTGTGTTTGTGTGTGTTTCCCAAACTATCTCTGTTACAGAATGACTGCCAATTGTTTTCATATAAGGAAACAACTTATATTACCATTATCATTAGTGATGAGATGACCAGATACTACACTTTGATCCAAGGTTGATAGCCAAGGAATTAAGAAAAGTCTAAATAGAGTTGGATTGTCTGATTGATGAATGAATCCCAAATATTTTCATATAAGGAAACAACTCATATTACCATTATCATTAGTTATGAGCTGACCAGATACTACACTTTGATCGGAGGCTGATAGCCAAGGAATGAAGAAAAGTGTAGCTAGAGTTGGACTGGCTGATCGATGAATGAATATCAAATGTTTTCATATAAGGAAACAACTCATATTACTTTCATCATTACCAGTGTAGATCTCTTGCTGAAATAATGGCCTGCAATTTCAACTTGGTAGACACCACTTCATGGTAAGGTATGAAAATTTATTGCAGTAATGATGTTTACTAAGTTTTGCATAGTCTGGCACAAGATTACAAGCATAGGGCACCCAGTGTGGATCTCACTCATTGCAGAATTAATAGCCTACATGATTTGTTTGGTAGTTGCTCTTCCATGAATTCTTTCTACCTGTTCAAATTGTCAAGTGATTACTTTTGATAGATTATTGAACTGAAGTCGTCAAAAAGTATGTAAATAAAATTTAGATATTTAAAATAATTGAATTAGCTTCAGAATCTAAACAGCATAAAACTGTTTGGCATTTCATCACTATTTCCTAAGAGTAGGCGTTGTTTAAAATAACGTTTCATTACTTTCCTTCTCTTCCTTCATCATTGTCCATTTCGTTTTTTTTCTTTTTGGATTTGAGCCCAAATGCTCTGATAAGTTAGATAAAAAAATAGAAAGAAAGAAAGAAAGAAAGACATCTCTCTATTTAATTTTGAACGAAGCCCATTTTTCTCTTAATAAATGCTCCCCTTCAGTCTTTAATAAAGCCTCCCCTTTCCTTCCTCTCATTTCATTTTTCTCTCACTCACAGTTTCTGAAAAATTTAGAAAAACACACGCTTCTCTATTCTGGCTCTTTCTCTTTCTCTCTTTTTCCCCTCTCTCTGATTTTAATGTTTTTACTCAACAAACCCACTCCCACTATGACAGTGGATATTCTCTCTTTTGCTATAGTCTCCAACCCCAATTGTTATCTAATCTTTTCTTATTTATCATCATTTTTTAAACAGTTTTTCTCATTCTTTTCTACTTTTTTTTCTTTTTTTGTCAAGATAAAACCCAGCTTATGTTACTTTCTCTTTCTGAAACCTTCTTTCGTTTGTTCTTTCACTCTTTCGTTCATTCATTTGTTTGCTCGTTCAAAATAACAAAGAGCGCTCTTTCTTCTTTTATTTCTTTTCTTCTTCTTTTCCTCTCTGCTTTCTTTCTTCCCTTTTTTCATTTTCTTTCCTTTCTTTCTTTCTTTCATCTTTTGTTCATTCAAAATAAAAAAAAAGAGCTTTCCTTCTTCCATCATCTCTCCTCTTTTTCTCTGCTTTATCACCATTTTCTTTCCTTCTTTTTCCTTTCTTTTTTCATTCTTTCTTTCTTTCATTCGTTTGTTTGTTCATTCAAAATAAAAATGCGCCCACCTTCTTCCTTTATTTATCACTCTTTTTCTTTTCTCTCTGCATTATCACTATTTGCTTTCTTTCTCTTTTTCTTTCAAAATAAAAAAGAACGTTGATTATTACTTCATCCCTCACTTTTCTTTTGTCTCTTTTTCTTCTTCTTCTTCTTCTTCTTCACTTAATACTTTTGCGTTTTATTAAATCTTGCCTTTTTCTTTTTTTTCCTTTTTTCTTCTTTGCGTCTGTTTCTGTCTCTTTTTCTCTCTTTAAGTGTCTATTACTCTTTTAATCTGAATTTAGTCTTATTTTTCCTTCTTTCTCACTCACTCTCTCTCTCTCTCTCTCTCTCTTTGTCATTTTCTTTTTGCTTTCTCTTAACAAAATCTACTTTTTCTCATTTTACCATTGTCAATCTCTTGTTCTCTCTTTTTTTTTCTGTTGGCACTTTACATATTTTTTCTTTAACCCCATGAGAAATTTATTTCCATTTCTTTCTAGCATCTCTTGAAAAAAAAAAAAAAAATGAAAAAACAGATAATCTTCGTTCATTTTTGTTTTTATTTCTGCTTTTCTTTTTTCTTTTTCTTTTTCTTTTTTAGTTCTCTTCTTTTTTTGTTTCTCCATTTCTTTTTTTGTTTCTCCATTTCTTTTTTCATTTCTCCTTTTCTTTTCTTTTTCCTTTTTTCTTTTTTATTTCTTCTTTTCTTTTTTATTAGTCTTTTCTTTTTATTTCTATTTTTCTTTTTCTTTTTCCTTTTCTTTTTATTTCTTTTTCTTTTTTATTTCTTCTTTTCTTTTTTCATTTCTCCTTTTCTTTTTTATTAATTTTTCTTTTTTATTTCTAGTTTTCTTTTTTCGTTTTCTCTTTTGTTTTTCATTTCTCTTTTTTCTCTTTTTCTTTTTTCTCCTTTTCTTTTTATTTTTCCTTTTCTTTTTTCTTTTTCCTTTTCTTTTTTAATAATTTTTTTCTTTTTTATTTCTATTTTTCTTTTTCTTTTCTCCTTTTTTTTGTTTCATTTTCATAGATTTTTGTTTTCCTTATTCTTTTAATGAATACTGTTACCCCCTCCACCACTCTCTCTCTTTCTCTCTCTCTCTCTCTCTCTTTTCCTTTCTTTTCTGTTATTTCTTAATTTATTTTTCAAAAGAAGAAAAAGCAATTTTCTTTTTGTATTTCTTTCTCTGTCTTTTCCTTCATTGGCCAATTTTTTTTTACCCCTGAAAGAAAGAAAATAAATAAATAAAATAAAAAACAATCACACATTAAATAAAATTTACCTCTTTTTCGTTTGATTAAAATAAAATCGATATTTTGCGTTCCTTGCTTTTTTTAATTTATTTTTTAAAATATTTGTTCGCCCAAATACATCCATCTTTTTTCTTTCTTTTTATATTATCTTCGATGTTCTCTCTTTAACTCTCTCTAAGAATTTCTGTCTTCCTCTCCATTGCTCCCCCCACCACTGTCATTCTCCTTTTGATCTTACCCGAGCCAATCTCCCTCTCATACCCACCTTTTCCTTCTCTTCTACCTACCACCCTCTCATTCTCCTTCTTTACTCCCTCTATATCTCCTTAAAAGAAAAAAATGTAGTCTTTATTTCCCTTGATATAAAATCTGTTTTTTCATCTCGTCTTCTTTGTGAAGCAGCAGCAGCAGCAGTAGCGGCGGTGGCGGCGGCGGCGGCGGCACTTCTCTCGTCTTTCTGATCTACAAAGCCATTTCACCCTTACATTTCAATCAAGCCTTTGCCTTCCCTACTACGTATTCCATTGCCATCATCATATATTCACCCACCTCCCTAGCCATCTTGCTTTTTCTCCTTCCTTTATTCACTTTCTTTTCTATTTTCCTTCTTTCTTCTTTCCTTCCCATTTTTTCTTTCTTCTCTTTCTTTTCTTTCTTTCTTTTTTACTTCCTTATTTCTTTCTTTCTTCTCTCCTTCTCCTCTCACATCTTTCCTTTCACTCTTCTCTCTTTCCTTCCTCTCTTTCATTCTTTCTTTCATTCCACTCTTTCTTCCTCCCTTCTTCTCATTCTCTTTTAAGTCTCTCTTTTCCTCTCATTTTCTCTTTATTTTCTTCTACTCTTTTATTATACTTCCTCTTCTTTCTTTCATTCCATCCATTCTCTCTTTCTCTTTCTCTTCTTGTTTTTCTTCTCTCCTTCCTTCACCTCTCTTCTTTATTTTCCTCCTGTCTTTCATTTTATTTTTTTTTATTCCATCACATCTCTCTCATCATTCTTTCCTTCATCATCTTTCATCATTTGTTTCTTCCTTCCTTTCTGTAATCTTTCTCTCTTTCTACTCACTTCTTTCTTTCTGTCTCCCATTTCTCACTTCTTTCTTTCCTCCTTCTATCTCTTCTTTGTTACCTTCCCCCCTCATTACTAATCTTTCTTTTCCTCCCTCTTCTCTTTTTTGTTTCTTTACTCCTCTTCACTAATTTTTCTTTACTTCTCTCTTTCCTTCCTTCTCTTCTAACATTTTTTCTTTCCACCCCCTTATCCCTACTATTCTTCCTCCTTTATTCCAACTCTTTCTTTTTTCTTCTTCCTTTGTTTCTTTCTTTCTGCATTTCACCCCACCACTCTCCCTTTGTTTCTTTCCTTTCTCATCTTTCTTCTCGTCTTTCCTTCTGCATCTTTTATTCACCATTCTAACCAACTTTATCTCATCCATCTTTAATCATTTGTATACCATTTCCCCCCCTGCCATCAGTTTGCACACACACACACACACACACACACACACACACACACACACACACACACACACACACACACACAGAGAGTATAAGAGAAAGAGAGAATCAGAAATAGCACAAGAGAGAGGCAGAGGTTTCCATTTTTAGATATTTATAGTTTCATAGATACGCACACTATGCCTTATACATTTATATAACTTAACCTGCTCATATCTTTATACATACAAAGATGCTGGTATAAATATTCCTTTCAAATCCTGTAGACTTGTGTTATCTTACATACACTCACTCTCAGATTTTTATTATACAAGTCAATGTTTTCATAATAAAATTAGTACTAACCACATGATGTTGGCAAATGTTTATATTTATCATATAAATATTGTGTTGATTTCAGCGTATAAAATCTATTTTATTAGAAATATTTATAATTACTTTTTCTTGTATTTTTTTTAATCATTTCACACCAAGCAAGGTGATAATGCCACTAAGATGCAAAGGGCTTCTGGGTGTGAAATAGAATGAGAAGACTTTAGTGAGGAGAAAGAACAATAAAAGAACAGGTTTCAGGAAGGGAGAAGATGGCGATAATGCCACTAAGACGCAAGAGGTTACTGGGAGTGAAAGAGAATGAGAAGACTTTAGTGAGGAGAAAGGACAATAAAAGAACAGGGAGACAGAAAATAGCGATAATGTCACTAGGATGTCAGGGGTCACTTTTTGAAGATTTTAGGTGGCTGAGAAGCAAGAAATCAGCAGGGAGTTCCACAGGTGAGAAGTGTGAGAAAAGAATCAGACTATAACATATGATTGCATCTAGGTGAGACTTATCTACCAATCTAGTAGCACACTTAAATTCATGCAGACACCAAGGAGAAAAGCTCATCAGATCAATTGCCATGAAAATATTTGTAAAAAAGACAGAGGGAAACCACATGACATCAGTGAAATAGTGACTAATATCAAGATGTTAGGGCAGGATCGGCTACATAACAGAACCTTCTTTGAATTTTATCAAGAATCTTGAGATATAGACTGCAATATTCAATATTTTAAAACAGGATTTTGTTCAACATAAAGAGAAACAGTTCCTCAGCAAACAACAGAAAAATCTTCCTGGAGTAAAAATTTCAAAAACTTTAAATACTGCCTAATGGTTAAATCCACTTTGGCAGGAAGGGAAATAATTTACTGCCACTGCTTAAAACACATTCATTAAGCTGAAGAGTAAGAGGCTAATTAGTTAGCCAGGGATAGTGAGTTCAATCCTAGGTAGGAGTTAGCATAGTTAACATTCTCCGGTCTTAGTTTTCTCATTCTCTTTCACTCCCTGTAGACCCCCTGCATTCTAGTGACATTATCACCTTGCTTGGGGAGGGGATGAAACAACAAAAAAAAACAAAAAAAAAAACTAACATATTCAATATGTGCCAGGTCTTGTAATCATTCCAGACAGAGAACTTGTCATATCTTGTAGATCATGTTGAGTAGCATGGGTATCATGTGGGCAGGCATTATGCTGCTGGAACAGTGCATTAGCTTCCTGCCATTTAGTCATGTTCTTAAATAGCCTCATCAGATTTTTGACCCTCATGTGGATGCCATGTATGACATCCAACACATTCTGAAAAATATTTTAACCATATGCAACCATTTTCTCATCTATGATGGAAAATGGCTTCCAGTGAATAAATTCTTTATAGGTAGGATTCAACACATAGACAAATGATAGATTTATAAATGTGCAAGATGGATTGTAATGAGAAAAATTTAGTGCTATCAGATTTTATCATATTACTCCAGGATTGTTAATCATATTGTTATTAAATATATATGATAATATATTTATTGATGTTTTTAATTTCAGACATATAAAGACTATTATGGGTCAAGAGAAAGATATAAGCTCAAGAGAGATACAATTTGTTGTTATGTTATTGAACAATGGCAATACAGCAGAGGAAATTCTGGAAAAAAGTTGAATGAAGAACAATTAAAAAAATTGATAATATTGGGCAGATGCAAAAAAAAATGTCTTTAAGAATGTTGCAAAGAGAGATTTGAGAAAAAAGAACATTGATTAAAGACAGGAAGCAACCAATCTACCATCTTTAAGTACCATCACGCTGTAGGAGGAATGGTGGAGTAATGGACAGCAGCTTGATTTGAGGAATTGGAGAGTCGAGTTTGAATTCCAGTGAAATCCATTACATTCACTTATGTGCTAATACCCTTGGGAAAGGTATATAACCTCTTCATCTCCCCCAGCAAATGGCAGGACAGACTGGGTTCTATAGCCTTGGATGGCAACTGGTCTACCACAGAAAGAAATGGCCACCTACTGCGAGCATAAATCTGCCTTGTCAATCATATATCAAAAGATACATGATCGCCTAAGCATGTATCACTCATGGCACATAACTGAATCAGAGAGCCGAGTTCGAATTCCATTCGAATCCATTACATTCACTTACGTGCTAATACTCTTGGGAAAGGTATGAATCCTCTTCTTCTCCTCCCATCTATGGGTAAATAGCAGGGCAGACAGGGTTCTATAGCCTTAGATGGCAACTGGTCTACCGCAGAAAGAAATGGTGACCTACCGCAGGAAAAAAATCTGCCTTGCCAGTCATGTATCCAAAGATACATGATCACCTAAGTGTGTATCACACATGGCACATAACTGACTAACATTCCTTCCACACCTTTTGAACAGAAGTAGGGGGTTTATCCCTTTTTTTCTGTTTAGGATTTTGGTTTTCGGTTCCTTTTCTTAAAATCTTCGCATTTCTTTTACCCAACCCCTTGCATCTTAGTGACATCATTGCTTTGCTTGGAGTGACATTATTAAAAGGGGTTAAAAGAAGTAATTTCTCAAAAACTAATCCTAACTGATGAATGTAGAGCTACATTGGAAGGACTTGCACTGAAGGTTGGAGTCTTTATAGAAATAGTTAAGCAACATGACTTAAAAGACAACAGTGTGAGGTAAATTAATGTTTGAGGCTAGGATCGTAGATGACAAAATTCAGATTTGATAATGGAGTTATGAAAAATGAAAAGAGTTATTGTAAGTTTTTGAATAGGACATTATTTCGAGTGGTACAGGTTTCAATCAAGAAGTTTTAAGTTAAAGATTATATTCATACATGATGATGGCACTTCACCTTAAGCAAAGATTGCTATTACTCACCTTACCCCAAAAGTTTCAAAGACACCAAATTAACAGAATGTCTCTTAGTCTCTCAAGAAAATAGGAAGCCAAACATTAAAAGAGTTGTATATTAAAATACATATCAGAAGTGCTATTGCTGCCATGTAACCCAATCACATGGTTGGGTCACTGGTGACTAAACCTGTTTCCCCACCATTCTTTCCTAAGGGTTGACCACTTCTCCTCCCAAATATGGGTTAATTAGTAAGACTTGTATCACTAAACCATTATTATCTCAAAAAAATTCTTCTGGCTTTAAATAACCTGGAAGGGTTGATACACTGTAAGAAAGGAATCAATTAATCAATGATTAAATTGGGATGTAAACACCAGTTCTCATTCATTCATGAAAGTTAAGCAGCATCAAATCCAGTCAGTACTTAGATGGGGGACTGCTTTGGAACACTGGGTGCTGTAAAGAAACTGCTGTAGTACAAAATATGTTTCAGTTTTAAATAATCCACAAAGGGTTGATAATCCATAAAAAACCCCAAAAACAATTCAATCACTCAGATGAAGTGGACAGATACCCCAAAAAATTAAGAACAAGATGTGTCAAAGGGTAGCTGAATCATGTTGTAGGGTCAACAAATGGGGTAAACGGGGCTCTATAGCTATGAAAAAAGCCAATGTGAGGATGACAATGCCTAACTGGGCAGAAAGCTTCCTAGACTGAAGTCAGTGGCCATGTCATCTGGTTTCACTTATATTCACTTGGGGAAAGGTATGAAAGACAGAAGTGCTACTGCTGCCATGTAACTGAATCACATGGTTGGATCACTGGTGACTAAACCTGCTTCCCCACCATTCTTTTCTAAGGATTGACCACTTCTCCTCCCAGATATGGGTTAATTAGTAAGACTTGTATCACTAAACCATTATTATCTCAAAAAAATTCTTCTGGCTTTAAATAACCTGGAAGGGTTGATAAACTGTAGAAAATGAATAAATTAATCAATGAAATACCGACGGGCTACACAGATATCCTTTTAAGATTTATTTACATTCTCTGGAATATAAATATATATAGAAAATTACATGGTCACAAAGTGAGGGATCAGTTTATATACGGACTGTAATATAGAGTCGATCCCCCCCTTTATATCCTCATCATAATTTCTCATTTGTTTATCAAATTCTGATTAGCTATAAATCCACGCTGCCCTCAGTTAAGACTTGAATCACTAAACCATTATTATCTGCCCCCCCCCACAAAATTCTTACAATCTAAATATATTTTCTGGCTTTAAATAACCTGCATAGGGTTGATAATGAATGAATCAATCAATTCATTTACCCAGGATTTAAAAATTATGAGATTTCCTGCCCCTAAACTGGTTGCCAACCAAGGCTAAAAATTACTATTTCACTGGAATCCAAATTTGGCTCGCCATTTCTTTTTCTGAGTTTTTAAGTTCTGCACAACACGCACATCCATGTATTTTTTTTTTTTTTTTTTAATAAGGATGGATATAAGATGAAATTCACATATATTTCTAACTTACATATATGTACATCCTGAAAATTTAACCAACATCAGTTGGTTAATAACAATTTTAGTGCAAAAACATTGACTTACAGAATAAAAGCCGGTATTGTAAGAGCATATATATCCATAATATTGTTTAAAAACTCAGATATAAATAAAAATATATTTGTAAACAGACAATAGGCTGCCCCTGCTATTTACCTTGAACTCCTTGATAAAATCCAAAGAGGAATCAGCAATGTTATTAGTCCTGATCTGGCAGCTCAGCTTTAGTCACTTTCCCACTGCTGTAAGGTTGCCTCTCTGTGCCTTTTTTTTATAAATATTTTCATGGTAATTGTTTGGATGAGCTCTTTGTTGTGACACTTTATGGATTTAAGCACAGTACTAGACTAGTGTCGACATCTCATCAATTTACATTTGAGCTGGATAGATGCAACCTTAAATTCTATGTTCACAGTTTCTTTTCTCACAATATTTGTTTGTGGAACTTCCTTCTGGCTCCATACTTTCCAGCCAACTTTAATCTGCAAAAATTTAAATGCAATGTCAATCACAGAAAATAAAAAATAAAAATATGAATAAAGAAAAAAGCAAAACTTTTCTTTATTGACACATTTTATCTTCTGATGAACTTTATTAAAACAAATGTAAGAATTTTATTTTGCAACAAGCATTTATAAACAGATGTAAAATGTTGCTAGTTTTATAAACTTTTTAATTTAAGAATCCTCATAAATATATGCCAGGCTGACTGTGAAGGTCAAGGTCAACTGTGGAGGATGCTAAGTGATGTAATTTAATGTCTAATAAACTAATGATAGTAAATGTCGTTATTGTTGTCGAATATTTTTTATTGATTTGTTTATAATGTAATTATTATTCATTTTATTTTAGTTGAAAAATTAATTTATGTATTTATTTTAAATAAAAGGTTTTGAATTTAACTGTTTTCTTTAAAATTTTATAATTGCATATGTTGGCTTGGGAAAGGAGTATATCTTTTATGAAAGGAGATATTAATAATAAAAAATAATCTGGGATGCAGATTTATATTTTAGTAAAATTCAATAGCAGCACTCTCAAGAATTTTCTGTGTAAGTTATTTTCTCTTTTAATAAAAGAACTGCCACGCACCATTTAGTTGCTGAGGACAAATATTTAACTAAATTTGATAAAATAAAAATAAAAGAAATGTTCTTATCGTCTAATTACTTGCTGGGTGAATTTTTATATATTTTTTCAGTACTTAAATTGTTTTTCAGGTAACTGAAAAAATTTGAAAGATATGCCAAAAGATATCCTAGAATTTAAAAAAATCTCAATGACTGTTTATTTTCATACTTTATATCTATACAAATCTATCACAGGTATTGCCATAGTCATTTCTATAGAATATTTGAGTGAGTGCATTGGCCAAAGAAAAGCCTTGCGTAATTTCTCAGGTTGATGTCTAACTATCAACACCATTTTTTTACTCTGACATGCACCTAACACACACACACACACGCACACACACACACACACACACACACACACACATATGCATATACACACAATTTATGAAGAAATAAAAAATGCAAAGACATGGAAATCACGTCCTTACACATGGAGGCACACACTATAAAGTGAGGTACTAAGTATATTTTATATTTGGCAAAGGGGTCACAAAAATGGAGTAAGGGCCTGTGTGACCAGATTGCTAATGCTTGTTCCAAAATGATGGGAGAAAAATATACACAATGTTGGGAGCCTAATGTAATGCGATGGTTAACAAGCTAGACTTGCAAATTAATTTGTGTCGTGTAATAAGCTTGGTCCTCAATGAGTACTGTAAGTTTTGGGCTTTTTCCCAGACTAATCTTGGCTTAAATAAAATTATATATAAAAAAATGTTATGCCCCTTCAAGACATAGGCGATAGTGACTCCCCACAGCTTCTCTCTTTCTTTATTATTTAAGAATTGTCATGCCTTCTTGTGAAAAATAGTAGAGTGGCTTCCTGTTGCCTTCTTCATAGTGTAGAATTCACAGTTTTCTTTCTCTTATACTGGTTGCCACCCAAGGCTCAAGAGTTCCATCTAGCCAGTTGTTATGGTTTTAATGTTGTACCCCTTCAGTATGTAAGTGATCATGGCTCTCCACAGATTCCTTTCTTTATTATCTGAAAATTGCCATGCCTTCTTGGAAAAAATAGTGAAGTATAACTGCATGTGTGTGTGTGTCTGTGTGTCTGTGTATACATACGCCCACACATGTACACA